ATTTTAAATCGGGGCCCGGGGATTTAAAATATTTAAAATATTTAAAATATTTAGGCCCCAAATCAATTTAAATACTTTAAATATTTTGAATCGGGGGCCCGGGGATTTAACATATTTAAAATATTTAAAATATTTAAATTATTCAAATTTTTAAATCGGCCCCAGCTCCAGAAATCAGGACCCGGGGATTTAAAATATTTAAAATATTTAGGCCCCAAATCAGCTTAAATATTTTAAATATTTTAAATCGGGGCCCGGGGATTTAAACTATTTAAAATATTTAGAATATTTAGGCCCCAAATCAGCTTAAATATTGTAAATATTTCAAATCCCGGGAACCCAGGATCTGAGCCCGATTTAAAATTTTAAATATTTTAAATGTTTTAAATGTTTTAAATATTTTAAATATTTTAAATATTTTAAATCGGGGCCCGGGGATTTAAAATATTTAAAATATTTAGAATATTTAGGCCCCAAATCAGCTTAAATATTTTAAATATTTCAAATCCCGGGAACCCAGGATCTGAGCCCGATTTAAATTTTTAAATATTTTAATTATTTTAAATATTTTAAACATTTTAAATCGGGGCCAGGGGATTTAAAATATTTAAAATATTTAAAATATTTAGGCCCCAAATCAGCTTAAATATTTTAAATATTTTAAATCGGGGCCTGGGGATTTAAAATATTTAAAATATTTATAATATTTAGGCCCCAAATCAGTTTAAATATTTTAAATATTGTAAATCGGGGGCCCGGGGATTTAAAATATTTAAAATATTTAAACTATTTAGATTATTTAAAATTTTAAATCGGCCCCAGCTCCAGAAATCAGAACCCGGGGATTTAAAATATTGCAAATATTTAAATATTTAGGCCCCAAATCAGCTTAAATATTTTAAATATTTTAAATCGGGGGCCCGGGGATTTTAAAATATTTAAAATATTTAAAATATTTAGGCCCCAAATCAGCTTAAATATTTTAAATATTTTAAATCCCGGGAACCCAGGATCTGAGCCCGATTTAAAATTTTAAATATTTTAAATATTGTAAAAATTTCAAATATTTTAAATATTTTAAATCGGGGCCAGGGGATTTAAAATATTTAAAATATTTAAAATATTTAGGCCCCAAATCAGCTTAAATATTTTAAATATTTTAAATCGGGGCCCGGGGATTTAACATATTTAAAATATTTAAAATATTTAGGCCCCAAATCAGCTTAAATATTTTAAATCGGCCCCAGCTCCAGAAATCAGGACCCGGGGATTTAAAATATTTAAAATATTTAAAATATTTAGGCCCCAAATCAGCTTAAATCATTTAAATATTTTAAATCGGGGCCCGGGGATTTAAAATATTCAAAATATTTAGAATATTTAGGCCCCAAATCAGCTTAAATCATTTAAATATTTTAAATCGGGGCCCGGGGATTTAAAATATTCAAAATATTTAGAATATTTAGGCCCCAAATCAGCTTAAATATTTTAAATATTTCAAATCCCGGGAACCCAGGATCTGAGCCCGATTTAATTTTTTAAATATTTTAATTGTTTTAAATATTTTAAATATTCTAAATATTTTAAATCGGGGCCCGGGGATTTAAAATATTTAAAATATTTAAAATATATAGGCCCCAAATCAGCTGAAATATTTTAAATATTTTAAATCGGGGGCCCGGGGATTTAAAATATTTAAAATATTTAAAATATTTAAATTATTTAAATTATTTAAAATTTTAAATCGGCCCGAGCACCAGAAATCAGGACCCGGGGATTTAAAATATTTAAAATATTTAAAATATTTAGGCCCCAAATCAGCTTAAATATTTTAAATATCTTAAATCGGGGCCCGGGGATTTAAAATATTTAAAATTTTAGAATATTTAGGCCCCAAATCAGCTTAAATATTTTAAATATTTCAAATCCCGGGAACCCAGGATCTGAGCCCGATTTAAAATTTTAAATATTGTAATTGTTTTAAATATTTTAAATATTTTAAATATTATAAATCGGGGCCAGGGGATTTAAAATATTTAAAATATTTAAAACAGTAAGGCCCCAAATCAGCTTAAATATTTTAAATATTTTAAATCGGAGCCCGGGGATTTAAAATATTTAAAATATTTAAAATATTTAGGCCCCAAATCAGCTTAAATATTTTAAATATTTTAAATCGGGGGCCCGGGGATTTAACATATTTAAAATATTTAAAATATTTAAATTATTTAAAATTTTAAATCGGCCCCAGCTCCAGAAATCAGGACCCGGGGATTTAAAATATTTAAAATATTTAAAATATTTAGGCCCCAAATCAGCTTAAATCATTTAAATATTTTAAATCGGGGCCCGGGGATTTAAAATATTTAAAATTTTAGAATATTTAGGCCCCAAATCAGCTTAAATATTTTAAATATTTCAAATCCCGGGAACCCAGGATCTGAGCCCGATTTAAAATTTTAAATATGTTAAATGTTTTAAATATTTTACTTTAAAAAAAAAAAAATATTTCAAATATTTTAAATCGGGGCCCGGGGATTTAAAATATTTAAAATAGTTAAAATAGTTAGGCCCCAAATCAGCTTAACTATTTTAAATATTTTAAATCGGGGGCCCGGGGATTTAAAATATTTAAAATATTTAAAATATTTAAATTATTTAAAATTTTAAATCGGCCCCAGCTCCAGAAATCAGGACCCGGGGATATAAAATATTTAAAATATTTAAAATATTTAGGCCCCAAATCAGCTTAAATATTTTAAATATTTTAAATCGGGGGCCCGGTGATCTAAAATATTTAAAATATCTAGAATATTTAGGCCCCAAATCAGCTTAAATAATATTTCAATTATTTTAAATCGGGGGCCCGGGGATTTAACATATTCAAAATATTTAAAATATTTAAATTATTATTATTATTATTTTTTCAATCGGCCCCAGCTCCAGAATCAGGACCCGGGGATTTACAATATTTAAAATATTTCGGCCTCAAATAAGCTTCAATATTTTAAATATTTTAAATCAGGGACCCGGGGATTTAAAATATTTAAAATATTTAAAATTTTAAATCGGCCCCAGCTCCAGAAATCAGGACCCGGGGATTTAAAATATTTAAAATATTTAAAAGATTTATTTGAGCAGCATTGGGCCTGAAATTGCGCTATTATTGCAGGAAAGGGTCCCGCGACACATTATACATACTCTACCCTCTTACGGGGGGGGGGGGGGGGGGGGGGGGGGGGGGGGGGGGGGGGAGGGGGGGGGGGGGGGGGGGGGGGGGGGGGGGGGGGGGGGGGGGGGGGGGGGAGGGGGGTGGGGGGGGGGGGGGGGGGGGGGGGGGGGGGGGGGGGGGGGGGGGGGGGGGGGGGGGGGGAATCCAGAATCCAGAAATCCAGAGATCCAGAAATCCAGAGATCCAGAAATCCAGAGATCCAGAAATCCAGAAATCCAGAAATCCAGAAATCCAGCCGACGTAGAAACCAGCCCCAAGGGCCGCCCCAAGGGACATATAGGTTATATCTATATATACATATATATCTACATAATCATATTCACATGAAACTTATAGAAAGCATATCAACAAAAGCAACACAGAACACACCGCCCCCATGCCGAAAGCATGGTCCATTCTGGACCAGGCATGGGGTCGGCGGATTATTTGAAATAAACAACACGTGTGAAAGGGGTGGGGTGGCCCAACATGAGTCGAGGCGAAGTCACACTTTTTTGAAGAAGCCCTCGATGAAGAGTTTGTTCGATTCGAGGCGCTTTTCTGAAACAGTTCGAAAGTTGACTGCACGCTGCAATATGGTAAGTGGAGCTGCTACCCAAAGGTTTGTTGATGATGTAGGCCCTGGCTCCTACTGTCCCAAGCCATTGTTCTCCATGGTAGGTCAGGCTGAAGAGATGTTATCTCGACAAACGTTATTAGGGACTGTTGTGTGAACCGTGTTGATGCCAGCACGAAGAATGTTATTGGTGGCTGCTGTGTGAAAAATGTTGCTGCTTGTCACGACGACCGTTATCAGGGGTTGTTGTGTGAACCATATCGCTGCTAGTTTGCCGAAAGTCATTGATGGCTTCTGTGCGAAATTGGTGGCTGTTGTGTGAAACATGTCGCTGCTTGTGCGACGAAGTTATCACGGGCTGTTGTGTGAAACATGTTGCTGCTTGTGCGACGCGGGTTACCAGGAGCTGCTGTGTGAAGCATGTTGCTGCTTGTGCGACGAGAGTTCTCAGGTGCTGTTGTGTTAAGCTTGTTGCTGCTTGTGCGACGAACATGTTGCTGCTTGCACGACGAACGTTATAGAGGGCTGTTGTGTGAAACATGCTGCTGCTGTGCGACGAACGTGATTCCCCCCCCGACACCCACCCCAATCAATTGGGATGGCTTCAACGTGCAACGAATTGGAAACCACCTAGTTGGAGGGATTGGAGAATCACCCACATCTACCAAAGGCCTTTTGCTTGAGCACTTCCTCAAGAAAGGATCTGTGTCTGAAGACCGTTTTTTCCTACAGATCGGTGAAAACGCAGCAGGTCTACTTTCAGTCCCCGTTTTAGCAAGGCGACCGGCAGGTCCTTGAGCTCCAGAAGGAAAACCTAGCGGGAACCCCAACCTCAAATGGGCGTGTCTCTTGGGGAACCCCTGTCCGTTGGCTTAAACGGGAAGCCAAAAGGCAACCAACCAGCTCGGGGGGGTAACTTGAGACCAAAGCAACCCTCTGAACCTAAACCCTGGAAGCCGACTTTCTTTCCACAAAAACGATTAGTCTCCGCACCAAGCATACGGGAAGCCACCGCAGTTCGGTCGTATACACCCCTCAAAACTGAAAAAAAGACCTGAGTCCTGCAGCCCTTGAAGACAACTTCCCTACCCCAGTCCACCCCTAACTTGTCCCCGCAAAAAACTCTAAAATTCTCAAACTCCCACCAGATCCTAAGACCCCAAGACGACTCCGCAGACTCCCAGACCCCTGCTAAACCGAACCGAACACGAGGAGCACTTCGATGGGCGCATGCCCGCGAAGTGCTGCACCATCATCGCCTGGTCCTGCGCTTCCCTGCACATCTTCCCGCCCAACCTGCGCCTCGAATGGAGCACGTGGAGTCGGGCAGTTTCAGTCGGTCGGTTTTAGGAGCTCGGGGAGGATGGGAGGGTGGAGTGAGCGGGAAAAAGCGCGGGATTCTGGAGCTTGCGTGCCCTGGATTGTCAGGTTGGGTAAAGGGACGCCACAAGAGAGCCCACCTGAGCTGACACATGAGGGCGTGGTTGGAATGAGTGGCCCGGGCGTCACCTCTTGAACCAAGACCAACAAGCTAAGTCATTGAGCAGGCACCGGTACCCCAAGTAGGTGGTTAGGTTTGGATGGGAGGTGCCCCTCAATTTTTCAAGAGGAGGGGGTTGAAGTCCTCACAGCCATACAAACCGATGACAAATGCTGGTGAGCTAGAGCAAGCCACAAAACACCACAAGTAAAGTAAAGGCTCTCTGAATGTTACGAGCCCCAAAACAAGAATCGGTCGGCAAGTTTTCTTTGGGTTTCACAATGGCTGAAGGAGAGCCATTCCCTACTGGTTGGCAAAGGGTCATTCCCAAATTACCCCAAGAACAAGTAAGCCAAACACAGGCGCCAGCAATGCCAACTGCAGGATTCTTGGCCTTGGATGCTTCATTGGCGGCACCCCTGTTCATCGCAGGTTGACGTTTGTTTCCGCTCTTTTTTAGCACGCAACCATATTGCTTGAGAACTGCATCAGCCAGAGTTTGAGTGCTCTTTCGGCAGAAAACCCATGGCCATAGGTGCGAAAGTTGACCACACGAACCCCGAGGAATCCCAGTTGAACGTGTACGTGTGAGTTTGTTGAGGCACGGTACCCTTGTGAAGGGAACCCAAAACGGAAACCAAAAATGTGTCCTTTGACACATACTCATGCCCCTCCGCTGCGAGACTGAGGTTCTCGAGCATGGCCAAAGTCGCAGCACGGGACCTGACACGCTGCCGCTCGGCAAATCCGCCACACCAAATGCGCTTCCCCAGCTGTTGGTAATCGCTGTAGGTAGCCCACGTTTCTTACCTCTAGGTTTTACCAGATGTTTTCGGCTGGTTACGAAAAAAAGGAGAAAAAACAGGAAACAACAAACTAACTGGAAGCGCTGTGTGCAAGAACAGCATGGCTTTCCGGGTCGGCATATAAAGCATTGCATTATCTTCGAACCGTGGGGGCCGTTTAGGCCTTGAGCTTGCACGGCAAGCGCATTTAGAAAAGTTAGGCCACCTCCACTTGCAGTGCTTTTCGGGTCTGACTTTCACTACAAGGGCCCAGACTCTTCTGGGGTCCTCAATGTTTTCCTTGTGCAATAGTAGGTGGAACCACTGGAGGTAGGCAAGGAGCTGCGTTCGGTCTTGGCGTGGGTACTATAATCAAAATGATACCCCATGGGTAGATATACGTATTTTCATACATATATACATATATTTGTATACATGTCCTTTTTTGCAGTTTTCAACATCACCATTTCAGCTGAGTTTTGGGGAGCTGTTTACGACTTCGGCTCTAGGGGCCCTATGGTGACCATGTCTGCCATGGTCAAAAGACCTGGGTGGTCGTGGACCTCTCGATCGGGATGGGATGTTAGTCAGCCATGAAGGTTCCTCAAGGGCTGTGACCCACACTTTGAAACCTTGGGAGTTTTGATCAAGGCACATGTGCGCTTTCCTGACTAAGCAACAACCAGCCCAACTCTTTCGGGGGTCGACAGACACCAACCTTTGGTGGTGTGTGATATTATGGTCCCCTGACGTGGCTCTGTTCTTCACTACCCCGAAACTACTTTTTAAAACGATCATTTGTTTCTTGGGTCCTTTTAGGATGGTTGCGCTGAAGACCAACAAAACCAAAAGGACCCGGAAAAACATACAGTGGACGGCCAATATCTACTTAGCACCAGTTGTGATGGATCCAACCCTGGAATAAACCTCCAATCCCAACGTGGATTTTGTCCATCTTGCCTTTTCAGAGTTGTTCCATCCAGAAAGCAAAAGCAGCCCGGCAAAAAATAAAAAGCCCACACGGGCTACATGGACGGCACTTTACCTGGATCTTCTATCAACCCACATGGCCCCATCTTCTGCCGATGCATGCGCTCCGAATTTCTTAGCTGCGCTGTTTTCCCAACGACCACGGACTCGTCGTCCGTTGTCCGAGGCGAGACATTTGAGGTGACCAACTTGCTCTGGGCCTTTGCGCAGCTGCAGCAGCTCGGCGTCGCGCCAGCGCGAGGGGTCTTAAACGAGCCAGAACTCGGCCTGGCATTTGGAGCCCCGAATTGCGGGTTTTCTGCTGAGTCCTCCCTTGGATCCAAGGTGAAAAGGGTAATTTTAATGAAGAACACGCTCGCACAGACAGATGCTACGCACAGTGGAGGTTTGATGGTACCGATCCCATGATTGTGCAAACTCCGCTCATCAGAGATTACAAGGAGGGTCGTTCATGCCCAAATGTTGACTCCTGATTCCACCAAGAGAATCAGCAAGTTGTTAAGCAAATTCAGTTGTTGTGGAAGAACACCTCGATCAACAACTAGGAGTCATTCATCATGCAGGGATCAACACTATCACAGTCCGAAAAGAGGCAGAGAAATGAACCAGCGAAGACACAAGGAACGCGCCGGGCCCGTACTTAGACAGGCCAAGCCAAACGTGTGACACTTCTCCTCAGCGGCTCGATTTCCTTCGTCATTGAAACGTGAAATTCGTAAGCCCCCCAAACTCCATCCCCAACTCCACCTGCTGCAAGCATTGTCAGGGGTACTGTACCGCAGCTGCTTAGCCAAACAGCATGTTTGTGAGATTCTGGTCCCTGCGTTTTGTCTAGTTTCCCAATTATATAGCCTCCCTCCAATTAATATGGAACATGAAGGGGTCCCTTTAAAAGGAGAATGGTCTTCCAGCCCCCCCACTGTCAGGTTCCATGTGAAACGGGTGGGAGGGTAACGTTGAATTCAGAGGAGACCGAAACCAATGTAGGGGGGGACATATCCAGGGGTTAGCCCTGAAACTGAACTCAAACAAATCTGACGCAGCCACTTGACTCAGGGTTGAACTCTAAAAAAGTGTGGGCCATGGTCTTTATGCTTGTCTAAAACCCTTAAAGTGTCCATAACCATCCCTACTAACCCCAAGCAAGCAGGTCGATTGACCATGGCAAAGAAACAAACAAATGCATGCAAACTATCCGTAAAAACCGGGACTTCCCCAAACAATATGCGCAATCGCTCGCTTTCAAGGGTAGTTTGAGGCAGGATGTCCGAAAAATTGGTTGCGCTCTTTATCTCACAGAGGGGACCCCGTGCGATCGCTGGGTCCTGTCGAGTTTGGGCAGGTTTCACCCCCCCCCCTCCAAAATCAACAAAACCACAACATGCCACCAAAAGCCAACCCCAAAACCACAAATTCCATTAACCCCCGCAACCCCAAAAACCAAAAATCCGCCAAGCCCCAAACCCCAAACCCAGCTTCAGCCAGGAAGCTGCGGCCCGAGACCGCCCTGCACCTCAGCGAAGAGCTCTTGCAGCTCCTGGACGCGGTGGCTGCCACCTTGTCCCGCCCCTCCGGCATGCGAGACAGGCCGAAGGATGTCCAAAGGCCAAAGTGGTTGGTCTCTAAATGGCTGTGGTTGTCAAAACTAATGGGATCCCATTTTGGTTGGTAGGTGAATTCGCCACCCATTTTAGCCTATAGAGGGGATTGGGATGTTCACTGGGGGTAAGGGATTTTGACCCAGCCAAATGAGGAATGGCTGGGTTCCCCGTGGTTCCGATGTAAACCACTCCCTAAAAAGGGACCCTCAGAAAATGTCATACTGAAATGGTTAAAGGGGGCCAGACATCACTCCGGCGAAAAAGAAGCCATCAGGGGATGGAACTCAAAACTGGCAACAAACACAAAGTAGACGGGTGACTTTGTTTTCAATATCTCTCCAGATCTTCTTTCACAACTAGTGGTCTCACCGGTCAAAACGCAAGCCAACTGGTGGGTTCAAGGGAAACAACCCCAAGTTGTCAACTTTGACAACCCCAAGAAGCAGTGAACATAATGACCCAAAGGGATGCGTGGTACTTTTACAAGTTTTCCAGGCCTATATTGAACATAGGCCGAATGTTGAAGCTTGGAAAGCGTGAGAATGTTCATCAGAATCATGGATGTTGCTCAGATGCTCAGGGGGAAAAGGAAGCAAACCAAGATTCTGAATCCCAAGCGGCAAGTTCAGAGAGTGGTAATATGCTTGAATTAGTTGGTCGGCCCTGATCCATGTACACATAGGTTGCAGCGATGGCAACTGGGCTTGCCTTCAATGTCTGTGGTTGGGTTCCACATCTTTACTGGGATGATGTGGTGTGGAGTAGCAATGCGCGTCAAAACTCGGGACTCCTCCAAATGGTCCTCCAAGTTTGGCCAAACATTGCCATACCTCCCTCAGTCCCCCCCCCCCCCCCCCCCGGACACCCATTGTTCAGGGAACGGTCCTGGTGTCACTGGCAGGGCTTGCCTGTTCCTTGAAGCCCTGGACGCTTTGCAACTTGAGCTTCAAAAGGCCCACTTTCTTCGGAGGAGCCACTCTCGATTCTAGAAGCCACTTGCTGTCATACCACGAACGGGTCCCACAAGAGTTACTTTCCGCAACCAAGTTGATATGTGAGTTTGTCTCCGGATTGGGCTAGAGTCCCATGATGGAACTGGGTGGTTTCTGTTTTGGTTCCTTTGAAACTGCAGGGTGTGTGACTGTTGGGTTCAACATAGACATACACAAGAAAACATAAACAACCACAAACACACGTGCAAACGCAATTACAAACACAAGAACAAACACGAACACTCACGCAAACACAAACACAAACACAAACGCAAACAGAAACACAAACACACACGTAAACACGAACACGCCCGCCCACACGCACGCGCACGCACACGCACGCCACGGCAAGGCATGGCGCGGCACGGCGCGGCGCGGCACGGCGCGGCGCGGAACTGCACGGCACCACACCGCACCACACGGCACCGCACCGCACCGGGCCACGCACGGCCACACACGGCACCCAACTGCGCACACGCGGCACGCAGCACGCGCACCCACATGCACCACCCGCACCACCCGCACCACACCCACACCCACACCCACAGCATCTACACGTGCAGTCTCGGATTGTTGTCTCAATGCTGTTGTTGATGGCCGACCTCCGGTGCTGAGAGCCTTTTTTCCCATGTGGCCGGTCACTGGTCACTCTGCGAGGTCAGCCCTTGCGCAACCTCAAGGCCACGGTCCTCATCTCTGCTCTGGTGTCGGTGGCCAACTTCCCGCGAAGCAGGTCGCTGGCGCCTGGGATTGAGAGAGTGCCATGAGCCTCAACTGATCGAGAGATCCATCAAGGGTCCATGACCGTACCCTGAGCAAAAGGAAACCATGCCACGAGCAAAAAGGCCAGGGGAGCGTATGGCAGCTTGGTTCATAAATTCCGCCCCGCATTCAGAATCAGTTGGAGCCCTTCGTGCCGAATGGACACAGATCCCCTTTTTGGAGAACTTCCAAGATAAAAATAAAGAGGTCGTTTCTTGTGGACATCCGATTCCTTACAGGGCCCGATATTTTTGTTCCTAGGTTTGGCGGGCCGGCTCGTGGCGGTCCCCAGTCAGTCAGTCGGTGGGCCCCCCATACTCGAATTTGTTTATGCTATAGGGCCATTTTTCGGCTTTGTCATGACCTGAAAAGTCAAATCCAAATCCCAACCCTGAACGCACTCTCCAAAGAAATCCAACGCCTGCCAGCTTTGTTGCGGGTTTTCGTGGCTCATTGGTGGCTTTCCGACCCCAATCCCCACCACACCCTCAGCCAAACCCCACCAACCCCAAACAAAGCCAATCAAACCCTATCCCAACCCTCAACAAACCCCAAGCAAACCCAACCCTAAACTACTTAGTCGGCACTAGCATCCCTGTACCAGTCTAAACCTACCCTAAACCCGTGCCAACCTAAGCCCACCCTAAACCAGCACCAAACAAACTCTAAGCAAGCCCTGCACCAACTTGGAAGGGGTTAGTGGCTTTGTCACAAGACCAGCCGCAAACCAGGATAGTTTCAGGCTTCCTGCTTGAGTACGAAGCCCAAAGCCATTGACCTTTGGGTCTACCAAACATTTATGGCCCACCCAGAATCCCAATGAGTAGAGCTCTGCATCAAAGGGTTGGGTTACAGGAACATCTACAGGAAAACAGCTTGTTTACGGTGTGCTGGGGCCATTTTCTGTGGATTTTCCTGCAACCAAACCCGTTGGCTGTACGTTGTGTTTGCCAACTAGGGGAATCCTCCAAGCCCGAGGTGACAGATTTCCATACGTGGCACCCGCCCGGCCCAAAATGTTACGTTGATGTTGGAATCCACCAAACACAAGTTGATTTTCGGGGAACAACTTCGCGCGCCACACTTTTCGACGTGGTCCAAAGTCGGCACCACACAAAAACAAGAGCGGTCCCGGTATTTGGGTTTGCGTCAACATAGGGCAACCCCTACATGGGTGGCTTTCCTTTTGGTGTCCCTAAGAAAATCAAGAAAGCCAAGGTCCCCCAGAAACGGCTCGATCTGAGAGACTCCCAGACTCCGATTTGTCTCAAGCCGAGGCCTCGCAGTGGCTTTTCACCAACACCAGCCAAGAGTTGGCGCTGCGCTGGCCAGAGCCGCTTGCTCTTTGATCGATACGATCGGATTTTAAAATCAAACTTAGCCTCTATAAATAGGGGGGGTCTGTCGTTTTCGCCGTACCCGAAAATAAAAGCGTGAACAATCACGTAAATAAATCAAGCTTTCTGGTTGGCCTGGCCCTTAACAGAAATAGTCCGTAAATAGTGAGGTAAATAGTTGTAATTCATTTTCGCTTGCCCGATCTTGAGTGACCATGCGTGAGCTGGACTTAGTGTCCCTCATGGACAGGGATATGTATTGACGAGAACCTTCCCCTTCGCGAATTTCACCTGCTCATATCACTGAAGGAAGGCTAAGCATCATGAGTCATGAACCATTGGAAGAGCCGCGACATCTTTGACGTGAATGTTCATGCATACTGGTAGCTGCGAGCCACATGTTTTTTGCTCGCGAGCATGTGATGTGTGTCGTTGGCAAAGCCAAAAAGCTCCGGACGCAAAAGCACGTGCGCCCATGCTTGCGCTTGGGTTGCGTTGCCACGCTAACACCCGGCAGCCAGAACCCCCACCAAGATACATGTGTATTCAGTGATCATGAGAAAGGAGATGCTGTAGGAGCCGAGGACTAGGAACACTGCGTCTTGTCATAGAACGTCCGGTATGTCCGGTCATTGGTTATGTCAGCTGCGTGAACAACATCAAGAATATTTGAGGGCTCTTTCCAACAATCAAGACTTAGTCAGCTTATTGTTGGGCGACCTTGCGAGGGCCAATCTTGAAGAACATCAAGATGAACGTCTATATTCCTAACATGCACCTGGCGCACAGACACACAGACACCACCTACACACACAAACACACATGCGCACACGACTCTTCACGCGGTTGTCTCCGCGTGGCCACTGATTCAACCAGTCAGGATTACAAAGGACGATTTCAAGCCTTTCCTTCTTGCAGCTTTGCTTGCCTCGTTGTGGTACTGTCGGGCGTTGTTGTTTGTTTTTCTCTGCCGCGGCTTCGCCTCGTTAGTCCGCAAGACCCAGGGAATCCAAGAACCGATCCCAGAAATCCAGTTGAGCAAAGGCCGGAAAAGAGGAGCGATCGATGCTGTCACATGTGCACGCAAGTTCTGCGGACGGACCTCCTGAACGGTTCAGAACGGTTCAGCCAGCCTTTTTCTGCGTAAATGTTTGCGTAAGTTTTCGCGTAAATTTCAGACAACTCTTTGCCTTTTTGTGCTTTGAGATTTCGGATCGCTTTCGATGTTCCGATGCCGGCCTGACCTTTTACCTAGGACTTGGAACCGCCAGCCGCGTGCTCACGAACCGTTCCGAGGAACGGTGGCAACCAAACTGCATGCCCATGAACCGTTCTGAACCGTTCCGGAGGCATTGGAACGCGTGCCCCTGAACCGTTCTGAACCGTTCCGGGGGCATTGGAACCCATGCCCATGCCCCTGAACCGTTCTGAACCGTTCTGGAGCCCGTCTAGCAAGCAGCGCACTGAGCAGGCGTATAGTTCAGAACCGTTCTGAACCGTTCTGAACCGTTCGTCACTCAAGTTTCCCAGGAACCGTTCTGAACCGTTCAGGAGGGACAGGAGGGATTGCAGCAGCATACGCTGAACCGTTCTGAACCGTTCAGGAAGAATTGCAAGCAGCATGCCCTGAACCGTGCTGAACCGTTTAGGAGGGATAGCAGCATCATACCCTGAACCGTTCTGAACAGTACGGAGACATTGGAGCTGCGTACCCAGGAACCATTCCGAAGATTGCAACTGCATCAGGAATTGCTCTTGCTTCTGCTCACGCATGCTTAGGCTTACCATCCACGTATTTAAGACTTAAGATGTTTGGCCTCCTAACATTTCTGTAGTAGCTGCTAAGGATTTAACAAAGACCATTCAATCAACACCTTGGGCGCTTGTTATGGAGATGGGAGGGGCGGGTTGGAGCCTTACCTTCTTCTTGCCAATATTTTGCCATTGGCTTGTCTGATTATGTGCCTTTTATCTCTGTTCAGGCCTGTTACATGGCAAATGATGCAGCTTCCAGCTTCCAACACGGAGGCACACATTGTTTACATGATCTTTTACGTGCTTCTTTAAGGCCTGTTTTTGTTTACATGAATACTTACATGAAGAGTGACGTGGTTTGTTACATGACTATTGGCCGGTTTTAACCTCCACAGAGATAGAGGCTAAGTTTTGGTCTAAGATCGGATCGAATTCATCGAGCCGGGCGGGCAGATCCGACCGGGAAACTCCGCATCGTTTGTGTCAAAAAAGGGTTGTGGACCCCCAATAATTCCCTTCAAGTGGGAAGGAGTACCTTCAAACAAACAGTCGCAAAGAACAGCGTCGAGACGGGCTCCCTGAATTTCCGAGGAGGGTTATTTCTGCTCCTCTTTTCTTGGCCAACCAATTTAGCGACGCTTAACACATCATCCGCCTTTGGATTTCCAACTCAATGTGGGTTTCTGACAAGTGTGGTGATGCTTCCTTTGGAATGGGAATGCTCAAAAGTAGGGTGAATGGCAGCTGGATTCGACTTATTTCCTTGGCTATTTATTCCAAAAGCGCGGGTTACTGAGGATGGTCCTTCACTCCCTCTCCGCCTAAGGGCGGAGGGTGAAGGGCCCTCCAATTTGATTTACGTTCAACATATTATGTGTATGTGTCAAAGGGGACTCCGAATATGATTGGCTGTTCCTCCCTTTAAACCAGCCCCAAAAGGGCACCCTCACAGAAATCACGCACGCAACGCACGCACACCCACACCCACACCCACACCCACACCCACACCCACACCCACACCCACACCCACACCCGCACACACCCACACGCACACGCACACGCACACGCACACGCATACGCACATGCACCCGCACACGCGCCCCCACGCACACGCGCACGCGCACGCACACGCACACGCACACGCACACGCACACGCACACGCCCACGCCCACGCCCACGCCCACGCCCACGCCCACGCCCACGCGCACGCCCACGCGCACGCGCACGCGCACGCGCACCACGCAGCACACGCCACACGCCACACGCCACACCACACCACACCCCACATACGTTACGCAAACAAACACGAACACAAACAGCACGCCACGCCACGCACCCCACACGACGCAGCGCACACGGAGACACCACACACACACAAGCACGCACACACACACACAAGCACACACCACACACACACACACACCAACACAACACAAGACAACCCAATAACAACACAATGCAACGCAGCAACACGACACGACACGACACGACACGCCATGACACCACACGACACAACACAACACAACACTGCACCCCACCACAACACATCAAAACACACCACGACACAACACAACACACCACCACCACACACCACAACACACCACAACACACAACAACACACCACAACACACCACAACACACAACAACACACCACATCACAACACACCACAACACACCACAACAGATCACAACACTCCACACCACACCACAACACACCACACCACCACAACACACCACAACACATCACAACAAACCACACCACCACAACACACCACAACACATCACAACAAACCACAACACACCACACCACACCACAGCACACCACAAACCACACTACACCACACCCCACAGACCACACACCACACACACACACAAACACACCACTCACACAGGGGGAACATAGAATCGACAAGGAGGCTGTTGCTGAATCCCGTTGAGTTGCGCCCAACAGATTTGGGAAGTCCGTTATTTTTTAGCTGACGGGCCAAATGTACTTGTGGATCTTGTTTCCCGCAACATCCGGGCCTTGTGCAAGACAAGCAGCCTTTTACAGCAACGGGATGCCATCTTCCGAAGACGGGATGCCGTCTTCAGGAAACAATGTTTTTATGCAGGCTTGCGATTCAGGACGTCCGCACTTCCGTCCGAGAGTCTCCGGAGGTTGAGCCTCGAGAACAAGAATCAGATAACGCTGGCATTCCAGCTCACCAAGGTTGGGGGCTGTTTGCAACGAGCCCTAACAGTCAGCTAGGTCCCCCTTTTTTGGAGGAGGATTCCCGTACTAAAATAGGCTACAGAAAAAAGGGTACCCTTATTCTAACCTCTCGACTGGAGGACCTAGTCAGAAAGCCGAGAGACCTAGAAATGGATGTGTTTCGCACTTGGACATGTATTGCAGGCGCTTCGTCTTGGCAACTGCCAAATTGAGGGGCTTGGGCATTACTCAAGTCGTTCGACAACTTGACATGGTTTCACCAATCCAGAGTAAATTGACCCGCCGCACCTCATCTACACACAATGTGAAGTCGCTTGCAATCACGGAAGCAGTTGCCTTGGAAATTAGTCCAAGTGCCTCAAATGTATTGCATGCATTTGACAGGCTTGCAAACCGGCAACAGTGAGCAGCCAGAGCGTTGTAGCAGTTCGTGGCCTCCAAGTCGGCCTTGAAACCATGAAGAATGGAATCCCAGCACAGACTGGTGATGGCCGCAGTTCAAACTAAGGCACCCATGCCAAGCCCAGGGTCAACTTGCCCACTCTCTCTGGTAGGCGAAGCACGTGCAATTGTACCAGACGGTCGTCACATCTTTGAACCCAGACATGTCTGCATTTGTCTGCCAGGCCGGACTTTTCTATCAGGTTTTATTGGGGCCTCCCCCATTGTTTGATTTGTAAGGTTGACTAGGTATGATTCGTAATGTTAACCCCGGATTAATAAACCCCTGGTTGATGAATAGGGGGGTGTCCCCTTTTAGTGGATTCATCACTTTTGGAGGGAACACCCCCCAAATAATGGGACGGGTTTAAAAATCCTGGGTCAACATTACTCTGAGCATATGTTATTTGTTTTGTACCCCGAGGGTGGGGCAAGAAGTGAGCAATCCAAGACAGAATTATCAGTACAGGTTCGTGTAGGCACTCCTGCAAACTAGTACAACGCCCTCTTCAGCAAAAGGAGATTCCATTCCCACGACGGTTAGATTTTGTTTTTGTGGTGCCATAATCTGCATGGAGCAGACAAACTTTCCTGCGCAAGGAAGCACTTACTTCGTCCACGGGGAGCTTTGAGAATGACATGGGTGTCTTGAAATATTTCGGGGTCCAACATGGTGCTGTTCCCTTGGTTTCCCTTCAAAAGCAACCACGAAAAGGGTACCCTCAAAAAAAGACACACCCAGACATGTGGCTCCTCAAGGATTCCTACTCTAAAGACTAAAGCATGGACCATCCAGAGCCCAAAGAGGGTCGCTGGAAAAGAGATGACGCTTCATGTGTCCTTTGGTGGTTCCATGTTGATTCTCAGGAAGCACATTGTCAGAGTGTTGTTGAACCACCCCAGGACAAAAACGCTTTCCTGGCCGAAAGTTTCGAACCCACATGAGTTCGCAGTTTGGGGTGCAAATTTGGGCCATTGCACATAGCTTGGGATCAGGCTTGCCAAGGGGAAATGGTTTTCATAGATGCCAGGCAAGCGGTTCAATCGTGTGTCCTACGTAATGCTTTCAGGGTGCCCCTTGTAGGATTTGTTTGAAGGAAACAAACATGTATTAAGGGTCACCCTATTTCTGCACGCATACACACACACACACATGTGTTGCTTCCGTCCCCGGCGAGGCGCAGGAAGTGAATCACTCACAACATGGGCCGCAGAACCACAAGATTCAAAGCGATTTCCAGCAAGGCTCTTGTTCTCCTTTTGAGGTGGGTTGAAAAAAAATAGGACACCGAGATCGATTTTGGGGGTCTCTGTGGGTTCTTATTTGCTTCATGGTTTTCGACTCTTCGAACTTGAGACAACCGTCTTCCTCAAAGCTCGAAGCTCGCGGTGCGATTGTCCACCAAGGGCAGACTGGTTGGGAGCAGTACATGGGTTCCGATCGATTGCACCAAAGGACCATCTGTGCAGCATCCGAAAGGAACCCATTGGTTAAACCCCGCTGAACCCAAGATTTGGGAACCCTTGTTCCTGCAACAAATAGGTATGGCTGTGCCCGGTGAACGTCATTTGTGACAGAGATCCATGTCCGCCAACCACTTTGGAGGTGTTTCCCTATTCAGATTCATGGTCATATTTGACGTAAGCATTAGTCAATTCTTGCAGTTGGAGGAATAGGGATGTCCCCCTAACGGGTTTCATCCACAACTGGTACCTGCCGTGGGTTCTAAAGGAGCGAACACCCATGATGTGAGCCCTCATGGGGATCCCCTATTTGGGGCTTTTCAACTGTTGAAGTTGCAGAATTCCAGGTGTGTGGGTAGAGGTCTTTCGCTCAAATGGGTTTACACCCAGACTGCACGGGCAAAAATGGGTCGATCTCGAAGCCCTGACGGATAGCCCAGAGAACCGCCAGGAATCCTCGCCCAAAAATTCACGTGGCAGAGGGTTTGAGGTCCAAACCTGTGCCCCACGCTGCAAGAGGAGCTGAAGCAAACCGCTTTCGGGAAACCAAAAGGATGTTACACTTTGAAAAAGTGTAATAACAGTGTAATATCTCGCTTTGGGAAATCGAGATTGTAACATGTCTCTTTCTTGCAAGGTCTTTGCGACCCATTGGTTTTCTGCTTTCAAGTTCTCGATGTTGGTTTCTCGTCTTATTCGCTCGCGCAGGCGACTCGGAGGCCGAAGACCCGCGCGAGGTAGATAGCGGGGAGCCCCAGGCTTCAGGGCTGTGCAGGGGCCAACCCCTTGAAACATATGTGGAATTCTACAAGGATTGTGGATTATTCCAACAATTCTACTTGGCAGAGAATATTCCAGCCATCCCACCCCTTTAAGCCACAGTGTTGGCCCCATATGAATCAACCAACCAGTTTGTAAATAGGGGGTGGGGGAAAAAATTATTATAATAGGGGGTCTGGGGTAGGGTATTTACAAGCTGGGGCTTCAGGGTTCAGGGAAGAAATTAAACAAGCAAACCATTTTGTTCAAAACACAAATAGGGGTTTTGGGGAATTTTCCTAAATTTTCTCAACATTTTTTTTACAATTTTTTCATTATGAAACAGTCTAAGATTTCATCATTTTCAAGGTTCGGGTTTCAGACAATTTTACGGCTTTCTGGGGGATACAAGTGTTTAACCATATTATAGTTAAATAATATGAATAAACTTGATCATAAATCTCTATCTTTAAACCAGTCTATAATCAACCTTTTCTTTTCTAACAAATGACAAACGAATTTATGGTAAAACTCATTATCAAAAATGTTTTTATAAACGACTTTGTCTTTGTTTTCTATATATTGCCATTTCAACATTTTAAGAAAATCTCTACACATTGAAATGCTAAAAATTTTACAAGATACATAACCATCATTATTATGAGAAAGTAAATTATAATGAAATTGAGTAGCGGTTTCATAATACAAGATTAGCCTATTGTCATATCCATACTCTTTTAATGTTTTGTCTAAACCAGTTGTAAATATTGTCCGTAATGATTTTTTCGTTGGACATTTATTTAACCTCGTCATATACCAAATCCACTTATCCATTTCTTTTAAATTGTCAGGTTCGTTTTTCATTAAATGTTTTGTAATGGTGCATCTTTTACAACATACAAAACTCAAAATATTATCAATGATACAGTCAGGAAATATGTCATTTGCTTTTTTGACTTTGTTGTTGAATATCTTACAACCACGGCATTTTACAATTTCTTTTGTCAATTCTTCTCTGATACACTTATTGATTTTTTTTCTTCTTAATATATTAAGGGGTCATTTCTTTAAGTAGTTTTATTTTTTCTTCTTGCCTCTGCTACTTTTTGTGTCAGCGCTTTCTGGGCTTCTGCTCCTGCTTCTTGTTTCCATTTGTTCCCTCGTCCATTCACTACCTCTTGCTATTTCTTCAGGTGACCGACTTCTGCTTCTCGTTTCCATTTGTCTTATACCCCATTGTCTGCCTCTTGCTCTTTCTTCTGGTGAGTGACTTCTGCTTCTTGCTTCTACCTGTCGTCTTGTCCAGAATGATGCCCTTGGTTGTTCTTCTTGTTCTTCGGATTGAATGGACGGTGAGGATGACTTCTTTTCTCGTTTGAATAATTCAAACACACTCTTGTCTTCTCCACCTAAAAATATGTTTCTTAATGACTTTATTTCTCGGCTTTCCTCTTTCTTCTCTTCCTCTTTCACGGTTGATGCTGACGATGATGATGTTAAATGAAGACTTTGTAAATCTTCCTGCTTTTCATCTTTTGGTTCATCTTTTGGTTCATCTTTTGGTTCATCGTTTGGTCCTGAAATTGCATTGCTATAAATTTCATCAGCAAAATCTTTTGCTACATATCGTGTTGTTTGTGCGTCTGCCTCGTTGTTTTCATATAACTGTGATGTTGGTGCTACTTCATCAAACATATCAGGGAACAATTCATGTTGAAGAACTTGTTTATCAGTTTGAACCCTAGCATTCAATCGTAGTCTCCTATCGTATTTTGAAAGATCAAAATCATCAAAGTCTATATTATTAATTGATTTGTCAAATGTCTGTCTTTCAGGGATAATTTCAATTTTTAATCTGTGTGTCATCGCTTCTTTCAGCATTTCATCAAATGTAGGGCGTCGTCTTAATCCATAATATTTATCAGTCATATTAAATATTATAGATTATTTATTGTTGGGTTGCTTTATGGACGAAGTATTTATTATAAACATTGTCCTCATAATATTTTTGTAGTTTAACCTTCACTGCGTTTCTATCTACTCCTGTTGTATTGTTATATTCATCTAATAATTCTTTGAACTCATCATATTTAACAGCGTTAATTACATTGAATTGATGTAGTTTTGAAATTATACTATCCATTAAACTTCTTGGATTTTTTGCTAAATATACCGGCCACATCCACTTTATACCACTTAAATAATTTTTGAAAATTCGTTCATCATCAACATCTTCATTTTCAACATTTTGTAATTCCATTTCGTTTGCTTGTTCTTGCATTTCCATTATCTCAGCATTAGTAATGGTTGTTTGCGCGTCATCGTCATCATCCTTACCTTTTTTCAATGCTTCTACTTCAACTACAGGGTCGTTTTCACGTTCATCTTCTTCTTCCCCTTCCTCGAATGGTTCTAATTCTGGCATTTCATCAGCGGACACCATTGAATGAATTTCTACACCTTCTGGTATTGATTGTTTTGAAACAGCACTTGCCATTTCTTCGTGTTGTTCTCTCCAAAGTCTCATTTTTTCAGCAAGTTCTTCTTTCTGTTTGTTTGCTTCCGCCAATCTTTCATTAATGAAAGACTGCTGTTGTTTCAGTGTGTCATCAAGTTTAGATCTTACACTACCACCGTCCGACGACGCTTCTTTCATAACTTCTTCTCTTCTGTTCAGTTCTTGTTTCTTCTGAATATCCAAAGCATCTTTATTATCAAACTGGCTACCGTATTGATTTAATCTGTATCTGGTTGCTTTTCTGTCTATTACATTTTCAATTGATGGACGGTTCTCATCTCCTACTAATGTTTCTTTCAATAATTCATCATAAGAAGGTCTCAAATGTAATTGTGATTTCAATGACCCTACTTTTACCGGTCCTACTGTATTCAATCTATTCATTGATTTAATCATAGTATATTAATTATTTAGAAAAATAAATTAATCAGAGATATTCTTAATCATTTCTTCTAAATGTTTCTTTCTTACTGTTAGTTGTTCCTTTGTTTGTATTCCGTCTGGTGACCGTGTGTTGTCTAATATGTTTCTTATTCTGTCTAATTCCTTTCTGTAACTTTCGGTTCTGTTGCTTTCAGCTAAATCATTTCTATACTTTATTAATGCTCCTTGTGATTGTTTCGCTTCCAGTGTGTCCTTCAACTGTTTAAAGTAATTCATACGCGAGGCAACTCCCCATAAATCTGAAACGTCATAATGACGTTCTACTTGTGGTGCTCTTTTGAATTCTACATTTCTATGACTTCTCATAAGCATGATGTATATATATTATAATTAGATTATTATTTAACACATTGATGAAGATAATTTGTTTATTTTTTCTTGTTTATCTTGTTTTTTCTTTTGTTTAAGTTCTTCATAATGTTGGTTTAATAGTTCTGTTGCTGTGGGTTTCTTAATGGTTTCTTTAATCACTTCTTGCTTAATCTCATTCTTAATTTCTTCTTTCAATTCTGGTTGGATCTTTCTAATATTCTTTTGTGGATTGACTGGTAATAATTCAGTAGGAACACCCTTACAATTCTTAGGATGTGAAAAACGAAGTGATTTAGCATTCATAGATTTACCACATTTTTCACATTGGACTACTTCAATTTCTTTCTTTGTTCTTGGTAATGCTTTTGCTTTTGCTTTTGCTTTTGGTTTGTCTATGGTTTCTTTTGTTGGTTCTTCAGTTGGTTCTTCTGGCGTTGGTTCTTCATTAACTGTTTCATTTTGTTCAACAACCTCATTATTAATAGGTGCTTCGTCTGTTTTAGTTTCATTATTAACATCTACTACCTCAATACTTGTTATATAATATATTCTATATATTTTCTATTAAATTTCTATATAGAATATATTTAAATAATATCACTTTTTACGAAAAGGAGACTCAGACTAACATTAACACCATTCAAATTAATTTCATTACCTAATGAATTAGACAACCAGAAGTCTAACTGTTTAAAGCTTCTATTTGACACATCCAAATAATCGAGAGGGTTCATTTCATTATCAAAGACAATTCCCGCGTGTGGTGCTGTGACTGGTACTTTCTTAACAACTGTGCTATCGCCCGTTCTTAAATTTACTTGATTATAATTAGACAATTGAGAAGAATGAATATAAATATTTCTAATAGGTTGAAGATTAATAAACTCAGACACATAAGGATTATTGTATTGATAAACTGCAACTTGATAATTTCCTAAAACTTCATTAACAGACTGTAAGTTATTAACATTAAAACTTCCATTCCATATATAATCTGCATATGTTAGTTTCATTTGTTCATCAGTTAATACAGCGAACTTTCTATCAGCATAGTTTGAATAAATTGTTATTTTATTAGTTTTTACACTGTAAGAAATTTCATAAGTATTTGAGAAATTAGCATTATCAACAATACCATTTATTTTTGCCTTTAATTCTGTCGCTAGTTCTGTGCCAGTATATACTCCTTCGTCCAATTGTAACGCTAAATAATGGACATTTGTGTTATCTTCATCTGGAGATAGCGGAGAAGAATAAAAGTATAATATATTATTTAATCCTGACTGAATTGAATACCAAGAGTTAGGCAATGTTACTTCGTGAATGTAGCAATGAACTCCGTTGTCTGTTTGTAATGTTTCTGGCAATTCAACTTTGAAATTTGATGATGTACCACTAATTCTATGAGCGCTGTCAATATAGACCTTCTTATATGTAAGCATTATTAATTAATTGAGAAATTAATTTATATCTTTATTTATATGATTAATAATACAAAGTTAATTTATGAAATGAAGCATGGGAAAATTAAACATTATCAACCTTATAAGAAAACAACTAAAATAACTGATGTCATGAAACAAACTGACAAAATATTAAATAGTTATTATCCTAATTCAAATTTAACTGATGCACAAGGGTTAAGTAGAGCATATGGTAATGGTAAAGGTTTTTATATTGATGGTGATAAAATGTATGTAGCAGGAACATT